AATATTCTTTGTATGTTCTTTTAGTGTTTTTCCTTGTTAGGTCCAGGGGATGAGTGTGTGTGTGTATATATATAACTACTCTTTTTGGATAAAAGATGTGCTACAATGTTTTGCAGGTTTTTGAGATATAATTACTTTATTATTATTTTGTTTTTATTTTTAGTTGTAGATGGACACAATACCTTTATTTTTATTTATTTATTTTTATGTGATGCTGAGATTGAACCCAGTGCCTCACATGTGCCAGGCAAGTGCTTTACCACTGAGCTATAACCCCAGCCCCCATAGATTACTTTAATAAATACAAAATTTTCTTTCTCTTTGTGTTCTGACACTAATTCTCTGATATCTACTGGGTGTACTACAGTTCAGTTCAATTTTTTGGGGGGCCAACGGGGGATTGAATTCAGGGGCACTCGACCACTGAACTACCACCCCAGCCCTATTTTGAATTTTATTTAAAGACAGGGTCTCACTGAGTTGCTTAGTGCCTCACTATTGCTGAGGCTGGCTTTGAGCTCGTGATCCTCCTGTCTCAGCCTCCTGAGCCGCTTAGTTCCTTGCTAAATTGCTAAGGCTGGCCTTGAATTTGCAATCCTCCTGCCTCAGCCTCTCAAATCAATAGGATTACAGGTGCACCACCATGCCTGGATAGTACTAATTTTCTATTTCTATCTGTACTTCTATGCTAATGAGAATTCTACTACATGGAAAACTTTCCCTTCTGATTCATATATATTTATGGACTCATGGATTTCTATTTTATGAATTATAACCCACAATCATAATTATTTTGGAGGTTTAAATTGCTCCATTTTACTTTTTTTGGTACTGAGGGTTGAACTTAGAGACACTCAACCACTGAGCCACATTCCCAGCCCAATTTTTTAATTTTATTTAGAGACAGTTCCCCAAATTGCTTAGCACCTCTCTTTTGCTGAGGCTGGCTTTGATACTCCTGCCTGAGCCTCCCGAGCTGCTGGAATTACAGGCCTGCACTATCATGCCCAGCCCCATTGTACTTTTCAAAATCATATTTATGCAGGTATAAATCAACACATGTAATATGACTACGTTTTTGAAATTTTTTTTAGTTGAAGATAGACACAATACCTTTATTTATTTATTTGTTTGTTTGTTTATTTATTTATTTAATTTAATTTTATTTTTTTGTGGTACTGTGGATTGAACCCAGTGCTTCATACATGCTAGGAAAGCATTCTACCACTGAGCTATAACCCCAGCCCCTATGATCACATTTTATAATTATGAATGTGGATAGGAAAAATCCTGCAAGAATATAAACACCAGGCTGAGGTTGTGGCTCAGCAGTAGAGCTCTTGCCTAGCATGTGCGAGGCCCTGGGTTCGATCCTCATCACCACATAAAAATAAATAAAATAAAGGTATTGTGTCCAACTACAACTAAAAAATAAATATTAAAAAAAAAGAATATGAACACCAAGAATGGTTATCTCGGAAGTAAAAGTAACTGTAATTATTTGTTTTTTCATATTTTCTAAAATAAAAGTTTTACTACTAGAAAAGGTCAATAAATACTATTTTAAAAATAATTTTTGATAGTAAAAATTGGCTTGTTCTAAACTTACAGATGGTAACTGAAATTTATCTAAAGAATGTCAGGTTATGTGTATTCTTTGGCCAGGTGCAATGGCATATGACTATAATCCCAGCCTTGGGAGGCTGAAGCAGTAGGATCACAAGTTCAAAGTCAGCCTCGGCAATTTAGCGAGGCCCTAAGCAGCTTAACAAGACCCTGAAAATTTTAAAAAGGGATGGGGATGTGGCTCAGTAGTTGAGCAAACCCTTGGTTCAATCTCTGATACAAAAAAAAAAAAAAAAAAAAGTGCTACTGGAGAACTATAAATGGCAGGTAAGAGCTGAGGCAATTTAAAAATTCCAAAATTATTTTGCTCAATTTGTTTTTAGTAAAAATTGTTTTTGAAATCAAATAACATTAGAAAGTGTGATATACAACATGATACATCTGGTCTTTGTCCCCAATTTCTGGCACAGAGCTTCAAAATTGCTTTGAATTTCCTAATGATAGGAGTGTTTTTGTTATGAATAATGAGCCCCTTCAACCATACTTGAGTTCATCCTATTGAGGTAACTCATTCATGAAGGGGGTTAGTCACCAGAAAAACCAAGTCCCCCAAGGATGAATGAGGGAGTAATGTTTGAATTCAACCATATTAACCAATGATTTAATCAGCCACATCTACATAACAAGACCCCCTATAAAACCTCTGAGCATCAAAGCCCAGGAGAGCTTCCTGGTTGGTGAACATGTCAATGAACCAAGGTGGTGGCACACCCTAACTCCATAGGAAAGAAGCTCACAGGATGTTTACATGGTTTCAAAGGATCTCCTTCCAAGATACTTATTAATTACCAAAAGAAAAATAATAACTCTCCTATGGAGAAACCTCAGACATCACCATATCCAAGTGATCTAGCTAACATCCCCAGTCATGGGGCATCATCTGCTGTCTGCTGTGATGCACTGAGAAAAACATACTGGGATATTCCTGCCCAAAGGTTTAAAAGAATTTTAAATGTTAATGTTAGGAAAGACAAGAAAGGAAGGAAGGAAGGAAGGGAGGGAGGGAGGGAGGAAGGAAGGAAGGAAAAGAAAAGAAGAAAAGATTTAAGAAATTCTTTCAGGGCTGAGGCTGTAGCTCAGTGGCAGAGTGCTTGCCTAGCATGCATGAGGCCCTGAGTTCAATCCCTGGCACCACATAAACAAACTAAACAAACAAAGTAAAGGTATTGTGTCCATCGACAATTAAAAAAAAAAAATAATATATATATATATATATATATATATATATATATATATATATATATTTTAAAGAAATTCTTTCAGATTGACAGCAAAAGCAACATTTGCTCTTAGACCATAAAAAATAAATCCTTTTCTGTAAAGGATAATGGTCAGACACATGAAATAATAGTATTGTGTTTGTGGTTAATTTCCTACTGTTAACAATATACATTGGAGTTTGCTTTCAGGAAATATGTGCAAAGATGTACTTATTTTCAAAGGGTCTTATGTAAACCTATTTGTAATAGATACAAATAAAGATATATAGAGAGATGGGAGAGGGGGAAAATGATAATATAAATATGGTAAAATGATGTTAGTATGTGAGGAATCTGAGTAAAAGACATGAATACTTTGTATTCTGCAATTTCTTTGTAAATCTGAAATTTTTCAAAATAAGTTTAATAAAGTAAAATTGAACAAGATCTGGTTGCCAATGAAATGGTGACTTGCATAATCGTTGTTTATTTATTTTGCTATATGAGGGATCAAACCCAGGACACTTTACCACTGATATACATCCCCAACCCCTTTCATTTTTTTTATTTTGAGACAAAGTCTTCCTAAATTGCTGAAGCTGACCTTGAACCTGTGCTCCTCCTGCCTCAGTCTCTTGGGTAGCTAGGATTGTAGGGGTACATCGCTCTGCCCTGCTAAATTAGTGAATATTTTAATTATACTATGTGATATTTGTTTATGTATGTGATATGCTGATATAGTCACCATTTCCTGTCTATATTATTAAGTTTTATTAGCAATTTTTTGGAAAATATAGCATAAGAGAAAGCATTGACTTTGCAATCTGCAGATAGATCTGCAACTAATATTTTTGTAACATCTTGAGAAAATTTTGTCTGTAGGTCCCAGGTTCCTTATCTGAAAATTTTGTGAAGAGCTATGTAATTTGGCATTGCTGCTAGGTTCTAGCAATTCTGTGATCATGGCTTTGGACTCACTGATGTAGTAGGAACTCAGTCACACTTTATGGTCAACCACTTGAAAAAGGCCCAGCCCTTCTCACACAAGAGAAGGTTTGTAGAAATCAGAGCTGGAAAACATCTATTAAAACATCTAATCTGTCTGTCCACTAGTACTCAGTTGTTCATAGCAAATCCTCTGCTATTTTGACCAGTACTCATTCTCCTTCCTGTGGTGTAACCATTGATTATAGCCCTTTCCTTTAGTCATCTAGGAAGAGATTGTGATTGTTCTTAACTCTAAAAATATCTATTCTTTCATATTTAGACTTTACTTTTAAAAATTATAATTTGCTACTATGGCAGAGGCTAATAGGCAAGTTGTTTCCTCTGGAATCACAAAAGAGTTTAGATGATAAACAATTGAATGTCTAATAAAAGTAATTACATGATAATAAAAATTATGTAAATACAAGTCAAATTTCAGAATAAAAATCAAGATTTTAAAGATAATATATTTAAAATGGAAAATGTAACAGGATTTTTTTTTTTGTTTTAAATATATTTAAAAAGAAAGAATGTAGGAATGTAAAGAAATAAAGCACTGGTATTCTGTTGATGAAGATATAAATTGGTTTATTTTAGAAATAATTTATCTATTAAAAACAAAAATCATGCATCATAACTAAAATTCTTAAATTCCACTACAAGGAAATTATTTTGTAAAAATACTAATTACTGCATTGTTTGTAAAAGTGAACATTTGGATTGTTTCCAAATACTTTCATTAAAGTGACGATTTTTATTTTCACAGCTAGAGTTGGGAAGGCATCATTCATTATGTCTTAGTTAGTGAACAATTTCCAGAACAATCCAAATGTTCACTGTTGGGAAATCACATTAATAAATTATAAAACTTTATACAATGGATTCTTATATAGAACTCCCAAAAATAACGTTGGAGGTTTTTTAATATTGATATGAAACAGATTTATTATTACTATTTTTTAAAAATTACAGATATATATATATATATATATATATATATATATATATACACACACATACATACATATATATATGTATGTACATGTTTATGTATGCTTTTAAATATTTTATTAAATTTGGATGCCTTTGATTTTAGCTAATAAGTAATATATTTCCTCTCTGGCTGCTGGATTTGAGCTTATATAGAACCAAACACTTTCATTAAAGTGATGATTTTTCTTTTCACAGCTAGAGTTGGGAAGACATCACTCATTATGTCTCTGGTCAGTGAAGAATTTCCAGAAGAGGTAAACATTTTGATTTCTTTTCCATATTTAGAATTTTTTTAAAAATTATCAAAAGTAAGGGCTGGGGTTATAGCTCAGTGATAGTGCGCTTGCCTCATGCATGTGAGGGGTTTGATCCTTAGCACCACACAAAAATAAATAAAATAAAGTTATTGTGTCCATCTTTCTTTTTTAAAAAAAGTAAGAGCTGGAATAGTGGCTCAGTGGCAGAGAGCTTGCCTCACATGTATGAGGCACTGGGATTCATCCTTATCACCACATAAACATAAATAAATAAAGGTATCCATCTACAACTAAAAAATATTTTTAAAAATTATCAAAAGTAAGTTAAAGTGAAATAACTCTTACTTTTAAAAAAATGTTTCCTTTTCAACAGTTGAAACTTTTTTTTAGTTGTTGATGGACTTTTTATTCATTTATTTATATGTGGTGCTGAGAATCAAACCCAGTGCCTCACACATGCTAGGCAAGCACTCTATCTCTGAGCCACAACCCCAGCCCCAGATGAAACTTTTTAAAGGTTTATATTAGTTTATAGAGGCATATCTGAGAAAGAATCAACTAGATCTAAGTTTACCAAGTCCTTTGTGTTTCCTGCTTTTGACCTTGTCTAGGACATTTGTCATCTTGGTGCCTTAGTTGTCTCATCTGTAAAATGGAAGTTAAAAGAGATAATGAGATTGTATAACTCATTCTTAAAAATAAAATGTTACTTATAAGCCCCAAATATAAAAGAGATGATGAGTATTCTGTGAGTTGAAATTAGGGTGAAAAATCTGGATCTCTGCTTGTTTTCCACTGCCCACTCTTTTGAGTGTTTTTGCAGAACCACTAGAATTCTAACACACATATTTGGAAACATTTATCTACCTACCTCATTTTACAAATGAAGAAACTAATTCATTCTTCCTTTGCTCACCTAAAAGAATTGTTTTGGATCACAAATGAGATGAGCTTAGTAATAGTGAAGTGCCACGAAAAATCAGGTGGTTTTATTATGACTGACAGTATATATTTATTTCCACTTTCAAAGTTCTAGTGTGAGAGGCTGCTAGCTAAAAGTTAGGCTATTGCTATGGGGAATGGGATAAGTGGAATAGAATGAAAATGATTTCTGTTTTTTTTTTTCTTTACATAATATTATTATTAGTAACACAGTTTGCATTTACCCCTTCTTTGCTCTTTTTTAGGTAGAAATAACTGTGTAATTTCATTGTTCAGGTAGAAATTTGATGTATCTTGTGTTAGTTTTTTTTGGTGCTGGGAATTGAATCCAGGGCCTTGTGCATGCTAAATATGTACTTTCCCACTGAATTACATTTCCATATGATAGTGTTTTCAACATCCACAACAACCATATGACCATTCATTGTTTCTTTTGCTTCCTGCCCCCTTAAATAAGATAGTCAAATAAGTAATTACTTAGTTTGAGAAGTGAAGTATATTTTCATTTGTGGAATTGTTAACATTAATTTATAGTCAGTTGGGAAAGAGGTATAATACCTAAAGGTTTTCTGCAAAAATTTGACTTAGTTTAGAACTATTTTAGCATTGCCCTCCTGAGTATGGATAAGAGATTTTTAATTAATTTAAAAATTATATAGTCTTGGGCTGCAATTGTAGCTCAGTGGTAGAGCGCTTGCCTTGCAAATATGAGGCACTGGATTTGATCCTCAGCATCACATAAAAATAAATAAATAAATAAAGATATTGTGTCCATCTACTACTAAAAAATAAAAATATTTTAAAAAAAGAATTGTTTGCTAATTTCTTTCTTTTTTTTATATATATATATATAGTCTTGGGGCTGGGGATATAGCTCAGTTGGTAGAATTTAGGTACACTCTACCACTGAGCTAAGTGGTTCTTTCTTTCCAGCCCCTTTTTATTAAATTTTCATTTAGAGACAGCATCTTGCTAAGTCTCTGGGGCTAGCCTCAAACTTGCAGTTTTCCTGCCTCAGCCTCCTGAGTCTGTAACTACATATGTGTGCCAACATGCTAACTGAAAAATGAGATTATTAAGCATATGGCACATTAGGCAGCCAACTAGTTAACTTCTAGAAGTTAATTTGATAATTTACTGATTAATTTAAATATTGCTTTGTTTTTTTGTGGGTTTTTTTTATTTTTTTTCAGTTCTTGAGATGGAACCCATGGCCTTGTACATTCTAGGCAAGTGTTCTACCACTTAGCTACACCTCCAGCTCCTGAAAATTGTGTTGGATTACCATAGCTCCTCGTCTGTAGAGTATCTTAGGCCTTCAATAAAATAGAATGAGAATAATATATTTTAAAAACTAATGTTTGAAACACCAAATTAATTTAAGAATTGTTTTTGTCTATATCGGATAAAAAGTGTCCTTAATATGTCTTCTACCTACATAAGTAGAAATGTGCATTGTTTTTCAAAAGAAAAACCTTTTTTAGTTTTTATTATGCTATTAAAAAATGTTTTTACCATATGTTTTTCATATATATTTGCATCTGTGATGAGTAAAAAAAATAAGAATTTAAAAAGTTAAAATAAGAATTTACAAGGGACTAATATAAATAAATTTATATAATCTGTTAACGAATTTGATAATATCCCCTAATTTTTTCCTTTTCTGCGTTTGTTTGCAAAAAAGGTTCCTCCTCGGGCAGAAGAAATCACCATTCCAGCTGACGTCACCCCCGAGAGAGTTCCAACACACATTGTAGATTACTCAGGTAATGGATGTCCTTTTGTAGGTGAAGCTCTAGAGTTAGTTTAATAGTCCTGAAGACAGTCTTATTGAGCTTTTAAAAATTCTCAGAGGCTGAGCAGAGTACATGTCTGTAATCTTAGCATCTTGGGAGACTGAGGTAAGAGGATCATAAGTTCAAAGCCAGCCTCAGCAAATTGGTGAGGCCCTAAACAACTTGGTGAGACTTTGTCTCAAAATAAAAAAAAATAAAAAGGGCTGGGGATGTGCTCAGTGGTTAAGTGCTCCTGGGTTCAATTTCTGGTACCAAAAAAAAAAAAAAAAAAAATCAGAGAGAGATGGTCCTTTCTCTGTTATAGTATATGATATTCCCCTAATGTCTCTTTCAATCCGCATCCCCCATTCTACTCCCTACCTAAAGCCTCCATTTGGTAGTTCTGTGTCCCCAAAATACCAAATTGGGTTCCATAATAATAAAAAATAAGGAGGAAAATTAAATGGCAAATGATATATAAGTCATTACCCTGCTGAAATTGGCACGTTTACAGAAAGAAGTTCTGGGTCAATTTTGTTGTTATCCATTCAGGTATGTTTTGATGATTTAGAATTCTGAATTTAAGAATATATTGAATTCTGAATTTATTTTTTGTCAACTTTACTAGTCGGCTTTCTGTTACTGACAAAATACCTGAGATAACAACTTAAGAGGAGTAAATGTATACTTTGGCTCATGGTTTCAATCTATGGATGCTTGGCAAGGTTGCTTTTGGACCTGTCATGAGGCAAGCCATGATGATAAAAGCACATGATACAAAAATGTTTACCTCATGGTGGTCAAGAAGCTTAGAGAAGGGGTCTGAGACAAAATGCACCCTTCAAGGGCACATCCCCAGTGACCTAATTTCTCCAATTAGGCTGTATTTTCTAAAGTGTCCATCACCTTCCAATAGTCCATTGAGCTATGAATCTATAATTGGATTATCCATTTATTATGTCAGAGCACTCGTGATCCAGTCACCTTCAGAAGGTCTCACCTCTGAACACTGCTGCATTGAGGATCAAGACTTCAACACAGGAGCTTTGGGGGACATTTAGGATCTAAATCATATCATCAACCTTTGTCACAAATAAAATAAGTAAAACATTTGTCAACTTGCTTATATATCAGAAACACATCTATAGTGCTTTCAATAACTTAAAAACTTTTTACATAATACTACTTACATTTTATTCATTTAATTATTTCTGATCTAGAACTTTTTAGAACATGGATATAAATATAATGATAATACTTTGGATAAATTGATATTCCATATATTTTCAAAATAAAACACTATAACTGTTCTGTCCATTACCTATGGCCATTCTAAATTTTAAATGTTCTATAGCTGGGTATGGTGGCCCATGACGGTAATCCCAGCAACTCAGGAGGCTGAGACAGGAGAATCACAAGTTTGGGACCAGCTTTGGCAGCTTAGTGAGGCCGCAAGCAACTTAGGGAGACTCTCTTTCAAATTTTTTTAAACAATTTTTTTTAACATTCATTCATTCATTCATTTATTTATATGTGGTGCTGAGGATCCAACCCAGTACCTTATGTATGGTGGGCAAGTGTTCTATCACTGAGCCACAGCTCTAGCCCTCATCTCTCAAATTTAAAAAATAACAAAAAGAGCTGGGGATATAACTCAGGGGTAGAGTACCCCTGGGTTCAAATTTATTTTTTAATTTTTAATTTTTATTTGTAGGTGGACACGACTTATTTTATTTATTTATTTTTATGTGGTGTTAAGGATTAAACCCAGTGCCTCACACATGTTAGACAAATGCCTTAACACTGAACTACAACTCCAGCCCTGGTTTCAATTCTCAGTACCAAAAAACAAACAAAAAATAAAGTGCTATAAATTTAAAATGCGGGGCTGGGGAAGTGGCTCAAGCGGTAGCATGCTCGCCTGGCATGCGTGCGGCCCGGGTTCGATCCTCAGCACCACATACAAACAAAGATGTTGTGTCCTCCAAGAACTAAAAAATAAATATTAAAAAAAAATTCTCTCTCTCTCTCAAAAAAAAAAAATTTAAAATGCAAGTATATTTTTAAGTGTTAGCATAAAAAATGTAAAAGTATCTCATTAATTTTTCTATTGAGTGGGAGTTTTAATTTTTTTAATTTAATTTTTTATATTTTGGGTTAAATAAAAATTAATTTTACCCCTTTTATTTTTATTTTTTTTTTTGGTATTGGGGATTGAACTCAGGGGTGCTTGACCACTGAGCCACATCCCAGCCCTGTTTTATGTTTTATTTAGAGACAGGGTCTCACTGAGTTGCTTAGCACCTTGCTTTTTGCTAAGGCTGACTTTGAACTTGATCCTCCTGTCTCAGCCTCCCAAGCTACTGGGATTACAGGCATGCGCCACCATGCATGGACTCTTTTTACCTTTTTAAAGATAACTACTAGAAAATTAACAATTACATATGTGGCTTGCATTGTATGTATGTTGAACAGCAGTATACTAGAAATTGAAGCCTCACAACTAGCTTTATTTATAGAATTATTCTTTTTTGATACACACAGCCTTATAATTTGATTAATTTAATTATTAGAATTGAAGCCTTGTTGACTACTCAACATATGGAAAAATATTAAATATACAGCCTTTTTTTTTTTTTTAGCATAGTATAACATACCATTACTAGTTTCTTTGTGAGGAATAACAGGCATTTGGGGGGAGACATGTAACCTAAAATGATCTAAATTAATTGCTCTTGATTTCTTTGCTTCCTCGTCCTAGCTCTATCATGTATACCCTTTGAGAGCAGTTCTGGCTAGAAATATGTGCTTGATTCTTCATTGTCATGCTATAGTTTTGCTTCTGGGTCCTGGTTATTATTTCTTCTACCTGCTATCTAGATTGTAAGCTTGTATTGACCAGATTCTCACCTGGCCTTTTGGACCCTATTATATAGACTCACTCTGAGCTTCCGACTTTAAAGCACTCAGTTTTCTATCTTGAGTTGCTGATCTCTTTTGCCTGACCCTTTGTAACCCTGGATCAGATGCTGGCCTAGATTTATCACACAATGTCTCTGCTCTTCTATGCTCCGGCTACCTTCTTATGGATGTGTCTTTTATCATTAGCCAGCTTCCTTATCTTAGTTCAACTTTCTCTGCTCCTGGGTTACTCTGGTCTTTGCTACCCAGTCTTGATTTCTTTGCTTCCTTATCCTAGCTCTATCATGTATACCATGGTAGAGCTATACCATGGCATTTTGAAGGATAGTAATTGGTGTCACATGTATTATAGGTTGACTATTGGTTATAATGAAAGTGTTTAAAATGTGAACATTGACTTTTTGTCACTTGTAGAAGCAGAACAGAGTGATGAACAACTTCATCAAGAAATATCACAGGTAAGTTTAAAAAAATAGTTGTATGTTTTTGTGGAAAAACAGTGATGACCCTAAGAGTGTGCTTTTTTCATTTTCTCACTTAGCAAGAATTTTCAATTCTTTGTTGTTGATGCTAATTTTGAACATGTTTTTATTGTGGATCCTTAGGAATATTTTACTCTTTAGGGGTAAGCTTTTTTTTCCCCTTCAAAATTTTTCTGCCTTTGAGCCAAATATATTAACTAGTTGGTAATTAAATGCTAATGTTTGTATTTTTATTTTAAAATGACATTAATTTGTTAATTTTTCTTCTAGGCTAATGTCATCTGCATAGTTTATGCTGTTAACAACAAACATTCTATTGATAAGGTATAAATATATGATTTTTTCCCATTATATTTAGTTAAATTTCAATGGAGCACTTTCAAAGTTGATCCTCAATTTAGAATTTTAATGATTAGAGGACAAAATTTTTAATGATGATCTACATCATGACTTTGCTCTTGTTCATTTTTGTTTTAGGTAACAAGTCGATGGATTCCTCTCATAAATGAAAGAACAGACAAAGACAGCAGGTATTTTTTCTCTCAAACTTTATATTGAAAAATTTCAAATAGGAATTTTACCAAAAAGATGTGAGAAATAGTAATGAACATCTGAAAACCCTTCACAGATCCATCAGTTGTTAACATTTGCCACATATGCTTTGTCAGTTCATCTGTCTGCTTACATACCTCCATACATCCCCACACATCTGTTTTGGGAGGAATCACTTGAAGCAGTAAGTATATTTGAGAGCAAAGAAACGGCACTATGCTAATAATTCATAAATACAGACAGATTAAATATTTTGATAATCTTACATTTTTGTTTCTCAAACTGCTGCTTGAAAGTCTCAGTTTTAGAGTGTATCCTCACCTGTATTTTGTGTGCACACACACACCCTCTATTTTTATGGTGGTGCAGATTGAAATCTAGGACCTTATACATGCAAGGCAAGTACTCTACCACGGTGCTAGACCCCCAGTAACCCTCTGTCCTATTTTGTACTCCTTTGATGAAATAGGGCATCATCGTTTACTCACGGTGTGGGCAATTATAGTTGATTGTATACAGTGTAGTGTATGTTAGAGCAGGAACTTTGAAAAAAAATGAATAACCCTTGAAATCTGGTTTGACCCTTATGAGCTTGTAGACTTTGACTTGTTAGTTTCCTCATGTATAAGTGAGGATAAGGGTAATATCTGTCTTAGCTACATGTGGTTATATTGAGAATCAAATGAAATAATGCATATGTAAGTACTTTATAAATTCTTTAAGGAACTCTTTAGGAATTCATAAAGAAAGATTTCTTTGTAATTCTTTGGAAGATATAAGTATGACAGGGAAAAAGTAAGAGAGTGTGCATTCTGTATTTTTCTGAACCAGAATAGTAGTTCTGAGCATAAACATTTTAAATTTAAATGGAAACAAAATATTTTCTTGCAATATTATTTAATTGGAATAACATTTATGAAGCGCATTTGAGTCTTAAATGTTAAGAAATTCAAACTCATATTTATTAATTGAGCACATTTGGTCCTGTACTCAATTTTTTAAAAATTTATTTTCAGTTGAGCATTTTTGTCTTTTTAAACTCTGAAAGCCTAGTTCTTTCTTTTTTTTTTTTTTGTTTTTTGGAGGTTTTTTTGTACTGGAGATTGAACCCAGGGGGTGCTTGACCACTAAGTCACATCTCCAAACCCCTGTTTTTTGGAGGGAGGAGTACTGGGGTTTGAAGTCAGGGGCACTCAACCACTTAGCCACATCTCCAATCCTATTTTGTAATTTATGTGGAGACAGGGTCTCATTGAGTTGCTTAACACCTTGCCATTGCTGAGGCTGGCTTTGAACTTTGCCATCCTCCTGCCTCAGCCTCTCGGTTTGCTGGCATTACAGGAGTGTGCCACTGCACCCAGTCAAATCCCCAACCCTTTTTATTTTTTATTTTGAGACAAGTTCTCTCTAAGTTGCTTAAGGCCTTGCTAAATTGATTCCCTTGTCTTAGTCTTAGTCTCCCGAGTTGCTAGGATTAAAGTTGTATACCACCATGCCCAGCTGAAAGTCTGGTTCTGAACAGATTAATGTGATCATTCATCTGTTTTACTTAGTTATGGAAGAGCAACTTTGGACTGAGATGGCATTGTAAGTGCTATGCCTAATAGCTCCGATGGTGCCTTCTTATCATGGTTTTAAACTTTATGGTGACTTATTGACAAGACGGAAAGGGGAGAGTGGACCCTTCAAAGATGTGGTTCCCACTGCAGTAGTCTCTAGTCAGTTGTGGCATTTTAACTTTAAATAAATTAAAATTAAATAAAACTAAAATTATAGTTTCTTCAATATGTTTAATCACATTTCAGGAGCTTTGTAGCTACATCTGGCTAGTTGTTAACAGTAATGAACGGGGCAGGTAAAGAATAGTCGCACCATCATAGAATGTTATATTGGACAGGGCTCCTTTGGAGGATCCAATACCTGTATGCTCCTGATATTTGTTCTTCTTCATTAAGCTATTTCTGGGAGGGACTCTTCAGAGAAGGCATTTCTGTATACATCTGTTATTATAAACCACTATGTTTTTGGAAAACCTTCTGGATTGGTTGGGAATCAATATTTGGGTAATAGAGTGGGTCAGTTTCTTTAAGCATGATGGTCATAGCAGGGAGGTAAACTAAATGTTTCAAGGATTTCTATTGCAGTTTCGAGTTCCAGCAAGATAATTTGCTTTCTGCAAGCTGTCTTGTAGGATTCCCAAATAACAGTTCTTCATTAGACTGATCCTCTTTGATAACCTATTTCGATTTCCCACAGTCTTCTCCAGATTTCACTTGTCTAAAACAAAATCTTTAATTCTCTGCCAACCCACTCTCCCACCAAGAAACAAAACTCCCTCCATCTTCGATGTCTTATGGAATCTCTTCATTTTCTCTAGCCAAAATCCTGTATATTTTTCCCTTTCCTTCAGCTTCTGTGTTTATCAGATACTAATATCTGTGTTAGTTGTACTCCTAAAATGTCTTAAATCTGAATATTTCTTCTTCAACTTCACTTGAATGCTCTATTCCAAGCTATCAGATTTTTAAAAAGCCTTTTCTAAGTGGGCACAGTGACATGTGGCTCAGGAGGCCGAGACAGGAAGATTGTAAGTTCATGGGTAGCCTCAGCAACTTAGTGACACCTGCAATAATTTAGCGAGACCCTATCTCAAAAAATAAACTAAGTGCTAGGGATGTAGCTCAGTGGTAAAAGCACTCCTGGGTTCAGTCCCCAATACTGAAAATAAAAGGGGAAAAAAAGCTTTTTCTTTTTGTTTTGATGGGAGGAGGGGTACTGGGTATTGAACTCAGGGGCACTTTGGCCCCTGAGCCACATCCCCAGCCCTTTTTTCTTTTTGGTATTTTATTTAGAGACAGAATCTCACTGAGTTGCTCAGTCCCTCACTTTGCTGAGTCTGGCTTTGAACTCATGATCCTCCTGAGCCACTGGGATTATAGGCACACACAACTGTGCCCAGCAAAAAAACTTTTTCTTAATGAAAGAAATCAAACATATACAAAAGTAGAGAGAATAGTGTAATAATTCCCATGTATCTGTCATCCAGCTTCAACAATTAACTCATTGCCAGTTTCATTTCATCTATTACTCCTCCCATTCGAGTCATTTTGAAGCAAACTAACATACTATATCACACTATGTATCTTTCAGTATGTATGTTTTAAAAGTAACAAATCATTGCATTTAAAAATGTGGATCAGATCGTGTCATGCTCCTGCTTTTAACCCTTCAGTGTCTTCCACTCTCCTTACTGCAGCTTTTAAGTTCTATATGTCTGGCCTTTGATCGTGTCCAGCCCCATTTCATAATTTTCATAACCTCTTTTGCTCAGCATCTCTTCACTCCAGCATCTTTGACCCCACCAGGATCTTTTTTTTTTTTTTTTTTCAATTTGAGGCCTTTGAATGTGGTGACCCTTCTTCCCAGGTAGCTTTTCCTTGCTCTTCATATAAAGAATTCTAATCTGGTCTTTCACTCCTTTGTTCAAATACTACTTTGTTGGAGAGTTTTTCTCTGATTACTATTTGTAATTAACTTCTTCCATGTGCTCTATCTATCCTATGTGCCCCTTTTCAGTTCCTTCATAACACTTACTGAATTGAAAAATTGTTTATTTACTTATTGTTCATTTTCTGTTTTCAATGTTACAATTGGAAGAGATCTTCCTTGTCTTGTGTCTTTAATATGTTTGTGGTTTATTATAGGTACCCATTAAATATGTGTTCAATGGTTAGATGAAACTGACTATAGTAAGAGTTCATGAGTTTTTTTTTTTTTAAGTTTTTTAATATTTATTTTCTAGTTTTCGGTGGACACAACATCCTTGTTTGTATGTGGTGCTGAGGGTCGAACCTGGGCCGCACGCGTGCCAGGCGAGCGCGCTACCACTTGAGCTACATCCCCAGCCCGAGTTCATGAGTTTTAATAAGATTTTTACTTAGAAATTCTGAGTTATGATGTGAATTAAATGTAGATATAAGGTCTTTTCCCTTTCTTATTACAATTCCTCTTCATTTCAGGCTGCCTTTGATATTGGTTGGGAACAAGTCTGATCTGGTGGAATACAGTAGCATGGAGACCATCCTTCCCATCATGAACCAGTATACAGAAATAGAAACCTGTGTGGAGGTATGCCTCATGAAAATTTATTATTGGTGAATTCTCACTAACCTGAGATTCTGAATAGGAATGGGGGTGATGTGTGATGGAATAAATTTTCTGCTCTTTGTGCACTCATGTAAACCCAAGTACAACAGAACTAGGTTGTGTGTAGACATGATATTGTGATGTCCACAAAGGAAAATGCAGTTTTCAGTTTCTTCACAAAATCTGCCACCTTATTTTGATAGTTTTAAAATACATTTTTTGTTCTCATAATTGATTTTACAGTATAAAATTTTTAACCTTTTCTTTTCAGTGTTCAGCAAAAAACCTGAAGAACATATCAGAGCTCTTTTATTATGCACAGAAAGCTGTTCTTCATCCTACAGGGCCTCTGTACTGCCCAGAGGAGAAGGAGGTAACCACCAGACTTGTTTACTGGAATGTAGGAGAAACTCTAGTATGATAGTACTTTTTAGTAACTCTTATGTGTTTTTTGCAAAAGTTAAACTTTCAAAATTCAAAATTTATTACTTTATTAAATAGCAACATTTTCTTAGTATTTATCTGATTATTTATACAACTTTGCTATTATAAAATCTGAACTTAACACAGAAACAAAAAACTTGTGCTTTTCTAACAATCGTAGTACTGGGGATTATGTATGTTTAGTGCTCTTGGTAGCTTTACCACTGAGCTACACCCAAGCCTTTGTGTAGTTTTTAGAAATGAGTACAATATATAACTTTAATGCTCCTTTTTGTTTTATAGCTAGAAATACAGTTATTCCTTATTTAAATATCTAAAATTTAATAATATGTTGCCATAAACTTAAGAAAAACTGATTATATTTTTAAAATATTTACATGCCATAAAATTCACATTTTAAGATAATTCAGTGATTTGTAGTATATTAAATACATTATGCAAATATTATCTAATTCTAGAACCTTTCATCACTCCCAAAAGTAATCCTGTTCTCATTAGCAGTCACTCTGTAAACCCTCTTTTTCCAAGTTCCTTACAACAGTTAATTTATTTTTTCTGCATTTAGTTTTGAACATAATCAAAGCTGTCATCATGGGCTTGGGCTGTGACTCAGCTGTAGCGCACTTGCCTAGCATGTGTGAGGCACTGGGTTTGATTCTCAGCACCACATATACATAAATAAAATAAAGGTCTATCAACAACTAAAAAACTATTTTAAGGAAAAAATCTATCTTAAAAAAAAGTGGGGTGGCTGGGGGTTGTGGCTCACTGGTAGAGCACTTGCCTTGAATGTGTGAGGCACTGGGTTCGATTCTCAGCACCATATATAAACAAAAACTAAAATGAATAAAATCATAAAATTAAAAAAAAATTGTTTGGGGCTGGGGTTGTAGCTCAGTGATAGAGCGCTTGCCTAGCATGTGTAAGGCCCTTTTGATCCTCAGCATCACATAAAAATAAATAAATAAAAATAAAGATATTATTGGGCTGGGGTTGTGGCTCAGCAGTAGAGCACTTACCTAGCACATTTGAGGCCCTGGGTTCGATTCTCAGCACCACATAAAAATAAAAATAAATAAAATAAAGGTATGTGTCCAACTACAACTAAAAATATAAATATTAAAAAACAATAAAGATATTGTGTCCATCTACAACTAAAAAAAAACTTGTCATCATTACTATTGCCTAGCATGTGTGAAGCTTAGAGTTCAATCCTCAGTACCACATAAAAATAAATAAATTAAAGGTATTGTGTTCATTTACAACTAAAAAACATAAATAAATAAAAAAAGATGAAAATCTCATTACAGATCAGCCTTAACATATGAACATTTGCAATTGATTTTCACAGTAGTGAACACTAATTTTGATTTCCAAATAAGCACAATATTATCCCTCCAATAAAATCTGTTCTCATTAGTAGACCTATACAGAAAAGTTATACTCATTAATATATTTTGAATTTATCAGTAAAAACTTGATGAAAATTTGATTTATCTTTTGCTATGTAAGTACCTATATGGTATCCTTGATTTTGCCTTTTGGCTCCAAAGCCTAAAATATTTGCTGTTTCCCTTTACAGAAAAAGTGCTGACACCTTGTAAAACTAATTTGTGTTATCCTTAATCTGATCATGGTTTACTCTTCCTTAGTCCTGATTTACAATTTCTTAATTGGGATGCTTATTTCTGATTTACTCTAAGCCAGTATTTCCCAAACTTGCCTCATCATAATAATTAGTAGGTGTAGATATATTTATTACAAACACATGCCATTCTTATTAGTCAGGTGCTGTATTTTATAATAAAGGAAATTGGAAAGTGCTTTTATACTATATTTACCTCTGAGGCCTTAGTCTGGCGGTACATTAAACTCCCCCATTAGTTCTCAATTCTTTACTTGCTACTTTGTTCTCAAGACTATTATTAGTTCTGATAATCTGCTAATCCCCTGGCTCTTCCCCTAGTCCCGCAAGGGTAAAACACCTACCACCATCTGTTGCTCATTTCTTAGGTACACCTGCCTAATAGATAAAACTTTCAACTTTAGGCCGTATCTTATTCGTATGTATGTACAAGCTTTAAGTCTAAGCTTATACCAGAATCTTTTATTTCAACAACAATAAGTGTTTTTTGGTTTAGTTTTTGTTTTTGTTTTTGTTACTGGGAATTGATTTTAGGAGCACTTAACAACTGAGCCACATCCCTAGCCCTTTTTATTTTTTTTTTTATACTTTTTTTTTTTTTTTTTAGTTGTAATGGACTCAATACCTTTATTTTATTTATTTACTTATATGTGGTGCTGAGGATTGAACTCAGGGCCTTGCACGTCCGAGATGAGTGCTCTATCGCTAAGCCACAACTCCAGCCCCCCGTAATATTTTTAATTTTGAGACAGAGTCTCACTAATTTGCTTAGTGCCTTACTAAATTTGAATTCTGCTTCCTCAGCCTCTCATATCACTGGGATTACAGGCATGTGCCACCAGGCCTGGCCAATAGTAATAAGCTTTTTTTTTTTTTTTTAAATATTTATTTTTTAGTTTTCAGTGGACACAACATCTTTATTTTATTTTTATGTGGTGCTGAGGATCGAACCCAGTGCCCCGCGCATGCCTGGCGAGCACGCTACCGCTTGAGCCACATGCCCAGCCCCAGTAATAAGCTTTTAATACAGATTTGAATCATCAATTTCAAAATTAAAACCTGAGCTAAAATGTTAAATGATGATTAACTCTGTGTGACCTATGTTGTCCACATTTTACCTACTAATGAAAAAGATGTGACTATTATGTAATAATAATATTTATTGTGTGAGTAGATCTCTCATATAGAAA